CCTCCCCTCTCTCTCTCTCTCTCTCCCTGCGCGTGCCCACCCACATGCACACACACCATGAACCAAATCTAGGCCAAGGGCTTCCCCCACTTGGTATAACTAGCTAACATGGCGTAATGACATGTCAATATAGTTATAACCCTAGCAGTTAGAAAACTTTCACCAACTTGACTTATGTGCACCTAGTTGACATTCCTTGTTAGATTCTTTAGCCAATTATTAATTTGAAATGCTAGCTTCATTTACTTTATGGACATGTGTTATATATAATTCCTACCAACATACCACTATAAGAAGGATAATACATAATCTTACAAGCGCATAACAATATTTTACTAAACTCGTGAGCGCTGACACATCAATAAATAAAATATGGACACAAAATGAGTAGAAAAGGAAAATATGGATATCACACATATTTAAACAACTACTTTTAGCATATAGTTAACTTGCGTGAGGCCCAAGAAAGATTGTGCAAGGGATCCATATAGCTAACATGAAGCACCTATCAAATACTTGGCACGATAATTTCTTATTGATGAGTCGAGCAAATGTTTTTAACAACAAATCTTTGATTTCAAAGAAGGGGCCAAGGTCCATTCAGGCTCTAACTAAAGGTTTGTCCATGATGTTAACCATCTAAGTAACCATGAACTCAATGTTAAACTAAATACCTTTTTATTTTCTTTGGTACTTTGTATTTGAATTTAGATAATAATGGAAAAGAGGGAATAACAAACATCAAGCTAGACCATTAGAGGTTGGGACTCATCAAAGTGTATATCATGGATGTCAAGGATTTCCCTGTTTGTGTATAACCATCTCTCCCTCTCCCCTCCCAAGTTCCATGTATAGCCTTTTATGAACTACCATAGATCCAAGGTAGGCCAAACGCCAAGGCTTCCCCCTATATGCAAGCAGTTGACAAGGCTAGATGCCATAATGTAGTGAAAACAATGGCGCCTAGTAGATTTTCATAACTTGATTTACATGTGTAAATTTGGCATTCCTCATTACATTCTTTTGGTAGCTAGCATTGTTACTAATAGTGGATTCATTTACTCCAGGAACCTGTCAACAAGATATATGATTTCTTAATACATAGATTTGTGCTCGTGTTATTACATATCTTCCAATAAAAATGATTAATTTAATTATGAACACTAAAAAGGAAATCTTATTACAACATTTCCCAAGTTACGTGGATATTTATGTCATGAAATTTATCAATGCATGGTTTGAGGCTTGGGCGATATTGTATTGGTGGGTTAATTTGACAGTGATATAAAACAATTGCCAATTAGTTTCATTGACGAATTGAATTAATGATAGGGAATTGATCACACCTCCCTTGCACATCAGAAGATCATATGCTCCATTTAGTATCTTAAACATTTCATATCACTATAGTCCTCACTAGTACTAGCAAATGCCATTGAATATTTCGTGACCATAATGTTTCTGTATCACTTTATTTCCTCTTTGCTATAGGCAAACAAGTTTCCATTTTTTTACTC